ATTTTGATGTTTTTTGCTTTTCAAATCCATTTCAAAAATATTAAATCCATTTACTGTTTAAATCAGAATTTTCAAGCTATTGTCGTAAAATTTGAGTATATGTTCCAACTAACTATATTATAATAGCTTGTAAAATTCTAGATCAATAGCATAAATAGTTTTCATTTTTCAAAAAAAGGTACAATTTCTTGTCATCACAGTAAAAATAAGATTTTTCTGTTTTACTGTTTGAACGCGAATTTGCAAGCTATTGTCATAAACTTTGAATATGTATTCCAACTCACTGTTTTATAATAGCTTGTGAAATTCTAGATCAATAGCATGAATAGTTTTCATTTTTCAAAAAAAGTACATATATACAGGTGCACGGGCGGCCTACGGCCAAGTTTAATTAATGGCCCACTGATAAAACTTGTCATATTGCCCATTAGCCATCGATAATTTTGCCGTAAATACGAGAGAGAGAGAGAGAGAGAGAGAAAGCTGAATATTATTCGTTGCGCTGCGCAGCTAAACGAGCGAGCGCGATGTAGCTGCTGCCAGTACACTTTTTTTTTCATTTTATTGCCCCGCTTAGCCTCGGATTTTGAGATTGAAATTTTCATTTTGGATGAACGAGGTGGTCGCGATAATTTTAACTCGGATTGGCAATTGAAGTGTAATTGAACTTAACAATTATATAGCTACTTGAAAAAAAAACCTTGAATTTAGAGCAAAATTGGATATTAAAGTTAAAATTAATTTATATTGAATTTAATTTTAGTAACTTTTAAATAAAATATTTTATTTGTTGACAAATAATATAGCGATAGCGATTTATTATTATTTATTTTTTCACATATACTGTACCAAGAGCTTTTGGGAATTCAATGATGATTAATGCCAGCCTCTACCACTAGATGGCGCATGGCTTTAAATCTGTAAATCTCCAAGTGGCAAAGTCCAAATAACCCAATAAGTATAATAAAAATCGGCATGTAATACTAGTCCCGCATTTAGTACAAACTGTCATGAAATCTTGTATACACATCGATGCGCTGCATTGCATCTGCTCAAACCTATACATACATAACACTCGGACGTACCCACACACATATACATACATAAACGTTCTTGAGAATCGCATAGCTGCAGCAGCCTAGTCAGTAGGACAAACGGCGAGCATATATATACCCCCTAGCGCAAGCTCAAAGTCGGCCATACACTTGTATGGCGCGGGGCTTAAACCGACCTACGGGTCTGATTAATTACAGGTACCAGAGCTAGGGCAGTAGCAGCAGCAGAGAGCAATACTGCGCGACGACGACTACGACTACGACACTATGTACTAGGCTTGGCTAGCTGCTGCAGCGTATATATATATGTAACACGTCGACTCGCCTCTCTGCGCCCTTAATGATGACTCAGAGCCCGGGCGAGTTTGAAACGCGCTGCTACAGCCTCCGTAACATTGCTGGAGCGCAGGCAGCTGTATATTTGCTCTATACATACACATACATATTCGCTGTGTGTGTGTGTGTGTGTGTACACCGAGTCTACAGATTAACTCGGCTGCTGCTGTATGCTGCCCTGAAAGAGACGCGACTACTGCTGCTAGGTAGCTATGACCGAGTAGTACACACTCGTCCCCGCCTACACGTGCGATGTTTCTGCCCCGCGTTCCTGTCTATCTCTCTCTCTATTTTTTTTTAGAACGTATTTAACGTGTAGCAAAGGTTAACGTTGTTGTCTCTGGGGATTGGGTTGGCCTATTCGCAAGCTCTCTCTATATACATATCGCAGTGTGCAACGCGATAAGAACTCGGCGTTATAACGCGACTATCGCTCGGGCATTGTGTGCCGCTGCCGCCGCCGCGAGAAAGAGCAACGCTCGAGAGCTATATCTATGCACGTGGAGAATGCGAATTTTATTATCTGCATTGTCTGCGCGTGACTCTCTGCAGCTTTGTGTATGTCCGTGTGCGCGAGCTTCGGAATCGCGGCTATGGTATATATATGTAATATAATAGCTCTAAAGCTCGCGTATGCGTGGCTATTGTGAGACCGGCGCGCATCCGCGATAAAAAGCTCTCTCTCACTCTTTGTGTGTATACGTATAGACGCGAGCGAAGATCGTAATAATAAGAGCGCGCGTACGTGAGCAGACACACACACACTTGTAAAAGCCAGCCTTGAAAGTGCCAACGATTCGAGCCCAGGGGCCAGCAGCAGCGCGACGTTTTTCCGACCCATTTTCGGGGACAACGATGGATACAGTGACGTTTCAAATGCAGCGTACTACAACTACGGCTGACAGCTTGAAACACGACCGCGTAATAATACGAACGTGATCCAAGCTCTGCCCCCGTCGACGAAATAACGTATCTACTTTTTTTTGTTGCCCGAAAAATAAGAAAATACATCGCTGCTTTATATTATACAATAACACACTGTACGATACGAGTGTGGCAGCCGGGACGTACAACACCGCAAAAGAAGCCGCCTATGCAAATCGCCCAGATCCACCGCAGCACCCGCGCGTATAATGCGCTGCGATACACGAGAGCTCCAGTGGCAGTATCAGTAGTAGTAGTGGCCTATAGTCGTGTGCCTCAGGTGCGCACGATGCCGCTGCAGCTGCACACACGCCACGACGACGGGCCGCATCTGTGCCGCTGCTGCCTGCTGTACCACGTAAATACACACACACACGTGCGCGTAAATAGTATATATAACGCCACCGCGCGTCAACTCTCGAGCTCTGTATCTAGTTACCTTCTTATCGCTACTCATGCATTATGCACCGTATATAAATTTTTTCTTCTTGTGTGTGCAGTCGCCCGTTCGGGGGGCGCGCGCGAGACGAGCCGAAAAAACTCCTCTCGAGGCTTTTCTTTCCTTTTTTTGTATACCGAGAGCTTTTGCGAAAGATATAATGCAATAAAATGAAAAAAAAAAATAAAGTAGATTAAGTTAATTCCTATCGGCTACACGGGGTCCGACTAATCGAGCGTCAATTTCCATCGAATATCAGGCGGAAAACGCACGAGTGCGCGCGCACACGCGTGTAATTGCAACGCAGCTTTGTATAAAAGCTCGGTCTCGCAAAAGATCATGCTCGAGAGTCTCGCGCGCGCGCAAGCTGTGGAAATTCTATCGCTCGGAAAAGTAAGATTAGAAAAGCCACTTTCTCTTGCGCTTAAGTCCCTCTCTCATGGCTGACAACAAAAAAAAAATAAAGTTGAAAATAAAACACAAAATCTCTGTACAGAGCTCGAGAGCTTTCCCTCCTCTCACCCCGCCTCTGTACCGAGGCTGCTGCAGTTTTTTCTCTTTCCGCGAGAGCTTTTTTTTCGAAAATCCGCAATGATTCGCCTCGGCAAAACTTCGAGATATGCTGCTGCTGCTGCTTCTGCCGCTGCATTTACCTCACATCTTGAGCTTTTCCGCAAAAATGCACGCGAGGCAAGTTAGCTTTCTTAATCCTACTGAATATTCAGTTGTGTTTCGAGCTAGCGTTCGAAGCAGATTTTTCCATCGCGTCGCGTCTTGCTCGCTTGTACTTTGTTTATTCATTTGTATATTTTTTTTATTATTGCAGTAATAGTCATCCATTTTTAGAGTATAAACTATTCCAATTGTTTTTTATTATGGAAGGTCAAAAACCATAAAACCTTTTTCTTTGCTTAAATTTGCTGTGGTGGAAATATATACAGTATTTATTCAATACCTCCAGGCCGGGAGATCGCCTCCCTTATATGCCTAGAACAAGTCTTCTTCTAATGCGCGAGCGACGATCTGCGTCGACGCCACCGTAGCGGTATATAAATATACGCACAAAAATTGTTCGAAGCAGCTTTATATCTACGAAACTTTTCTATTTTGATGCTGTTTATACTTTTATTGCCTGTCGCCATCTAGCGTTGGGCGCCGCAACAACAAAACCGGGAGGGCCCGTGTTAAGTGCAAACATCAAAATATGAATAAAAATACGTAAAAAGCATTATTTAAGAATCATTACGAATTTTTGTAATTTTTTAATCATTCTTTCGGTACCATTTTTTCAAAAATTAACTTAAAATTTCATCCATTATTCTAAGATTCATCAAATTAAAAAAAAAATTTAAATCGATATAATAGAAATTATCAAATTTTCCGTCGGAATCCATTTGCCAATGTACCGCTATAGAGAACGTATATTTTTGTAATAATTCTAAATCTCATCGTGGCTTCGTAAACCAGCTGATAAGTTGACCAAACTCCGATCCCCTTTCTCGATATTTCGTCGTACGCATCGTTACGAATCTTATATACATTATGCGTTCGCGTGCATACAATTTATCCGCGTACATATATATTTATCCAGCTACAATTTGATTCCCCTCGGGATATACACGCAACCGAGAATATCGGTACACATAAATCATGTATAAAGAAGCCCGTCCGAGATTGTGTGTGTGTTTGCTGCTCGCAAGAGTCGAGCAAGGCAGCAGCAGGAAAAAAAAGGAAAATCTCATGATTCGAAGATAAATAGACAAAAAATACAATCAATACGCTTTTCTATATTTGCTCGCGGCTCGTTTTTCTTCTCCGGCTCTGGAACATTTTAACAAGTATATACCGTGGTGGACGTGTATTACGGGAAGCTGCTGCCGCCGCGCCAGTCAAGTGCAGCGCGGTCGTATTATATATAGCTCGGACGTTTCGCGGCGGCAGTAAAGCCGAGAGAATATGAAATCGAAGAAAAACTTAACAAAGCGAAGAGAGAGAGAGAGAAAGTAAATGCTGCCGATATATAGGAGCTGGGAAAAATAATGCCACCCGAGGCTCCTGTTTTTTTTTCTACCCCCCGAGACGTGACTGCGGCTGACGAGCTACACGACGTACCCTTATAATAAATTTGTGCATACTTACTCGCATGCGCCCGGGAAACACAAATATATATATAACCATCGATAACAGCAAGCAAAAAAAAAAATAACCAAATAATTTTTTCCCTTACATTTTCTGTTGTCTCACAGGTCGCGGCGCCGTGCTGGACAGCCAGGGCCCGGTGCTGACTTCGGAGCCGAGGCCCGCGCTCGAGTTCAGCAATGACACGGGCGCCATGGTGCACTGCTCGGCCAACGGCAGCCCCCAGCCGCGCGTCGACTGGCTCATGGGCGACGGCTCGCCCGTACTGCCCATACCCAACATACGCGAGATGCTGGTCAACGGCTCCATGTACTTTCTGCCGTTCGGCGCCGAGAACTACCGGCACGACGTGCACTCGGCCGTCTATCGATGCCAGGCATCGAACAGCGTGGGACGAGTGCTCGGCAGGGAGGTCTCCGTCAAGGCCGGTGAGTCGACGATTACCAATTTTTCGGACTTTTTCATTTATGATTGGTTAAAAAAAAATGATTCGTTTGAACTCTTGGATTACCAATGTACATAACTTGAAGTTGTGAAAAACGTATAGACACCTGATTTATCAAAATCGTATTTTTCTCGAAAACTATTAATCCAATCTTACTGAAATGTTGCGTATTTATTCTACGTTGAACTGTCTTGTCTTTGATTATAGGATTTTTAATTTAGCCGTAAATGTGAAAGAATATTATTCGTTGCGCTATACAGAAAAATTTGACACGAACGCGAACGCACTCCATATAGCTGCTGCCACGTTTATTTTTCATTGTGGCTTATAAAGTCCTATTAGCTCGGATTTTGTGAATGAAATTTGACAATTATATGATTTTTGGAAAAAAACCTTAAATTTAATGTAAAATTGGACATTTGTTGGAAACTGATATATCAGTACTGATTTATTTTTTTACATAAACTGCACCGAAAACTTTTGAGAATTCAATGATGATTAATGCCAGCCTCTACCGCTAGATGGCGAGTACTTTCAAATCTGAAAATCTGCAAGTGACAAAGTGAAAATAATTGTATAAGATTTGTTGAATTGAACATAAAATGTGTAACACAATCTTCCTGAAATCACTCTTCTCTCCAACGAGCCGTATAAGAAGTTTCACACCTGAAAAATGGAAAGATATAACCCGCAAGATGCACGAGTGTTTTTAATTCTCGTCGAATTCTCCTGCAGTCGCATTATAGTTAAAGTCGCGTAGTGCTGACGGTGGCAACTCTCGAGCTCGTTGGCTGTCATCGCACACATACACCCATGTACAATAGTGGAGCTTTGGACTGCATGCAGAGACATACATATATACACGACGTATACATAACATAGTATTGGACGAAAGTCGCGTGCCAGAAGACGAATGATATCCGCAGCCAAGTCGCAATTCGAGCTCTTGGCTGGCGATGTATACCTATACCGCTACCGCTGCTGCTGGTGGATGCTGCGGTGGCGCGGGGGCGTTTCACCGAGCTATATACACGGAGTACTACAACACATCCCTTCGATCGTAGCCCACTCCAGAACAACTCGCGCACGAGAGAAGAGAAAGAGAGACAGAGAGAAAGGCATCGCTGCAGCTCGTTCCAATACATCATTCCGAATAATATAGGCGCTCGCGCGATTCGATGGTATGCGTCGCGCTTCTGCCGCTGCCTTTAATACATGCATCGAGAGAGAGAGAGAGAGAGAGCCGTATTGTGTATGCAGCCAGAAACGAGCCTATACGAGCTGAATAATTCAATCGCCGCCCAGACACTCGCTTTCTCTCTCTCTCTCTCTCTCTCTTCTTCTCTCAAGTTCCAATGTCAAAAGCTCGATCGCGCGACGAATTTCACAACGAGTATAATATATATGTACGACGATCTCCTTCGGCCGTGCCAAGAGATCATGTAGAGCCGCTTACTTTTAAATCTCGCGCTCCGCCGAGCTTTTTTTCGCCGCGTGCGCACGGAGCTGTATATTATCTTATCGAGCGTGAAATATGTCTTCGACTCGCGGTTCTTATAGTTTTCTGCCTCTCGCGCGGACTCCATTTACCCATTATTATACGTCTGCACTGCAATATTGGGATCGGAACTGAGACATATTTTTTTTTTCTAAAGTGAAACTTCTTCGGGCACGTTGGGTATACAGATAATAATTTAATCCATAATTTTCCGTGATACCCGAAGACATTTTGAAATAGTCGAAGCGGCGTTAAGAAGAACTTGGATTTTTTTTATACATATTCATCAAAGTGACCGACGCAAAGAAAAATTAAACTCTCACCCAGTTGTTTAACAAAAAAAAACCTTCATCTTAATATTTTGATTTAAATAATGTATTTGTGGTCGAATGATAAATGACCATATACCATAAACCTTGTCATTATATCAAGGCGACGAGCTTCGGACTCAGCCGCTAGATGTCGCAATCGATTCCAAACGCGAATAAATAGAGTTTCGAAGTTATATGCTCATAAAAAATTGAAGAGGATGATAAATGAAATGATTCATAATCTCATCGATTTCATAAACATTACGTTTTTGTGTGTTCCATTGCGCCTCGCATCCATCCGTCCACGCTGCGCAGTCGTTCGCCAGAAGTACGAGGTGCTGGTGAGGGACGCCTACGTGCTGTCGGGCAACACGGGCGTGCTCCGCTGCGAGATACCGGCCTTCGTCAAGGAGTACGTCTCGGTGACCTCCTGGGTGCAGGACTCGGCCTTCAACATATACCCGACGCCGGAAAGCGGTAAGTATATATCTGCTCTGCCTTACGTATAATAAAAGCTCCATAATCGTATCCGCGTCTCCTTGTTTGTATGTGTATGTATAATATTATAATGCGTGTGTGCCTAGGCGTGTGCCCGCAGGGCTGCAACCTCCGACGCCACGACGCCGGCGACTTTTACTCGACCATTAGATGCAGCAGCAGCCCCGATACATGTATATAATACATAATAACAATGCGCAAGGAAGCACTGCACTGCCCCTGTCCTGTCGTGTGCCTCCGTGTATGTGTGTATTGTTACTGGCTATACTGTTTCTGCCGCTGCTGCTGCTTCTCCCGAGGCTATATAACGCCGCATCCTCTCGAGTCCTGCTGCTGCTGCTGCCGCTCGACTATACAACGCAGTGTAGCGATTCGAGGACTCCTTTTGTTCAAACTCCCGTTGCAGAGCCGAGAGAGAGACGGAGATAGTAGCCAAGTTTGCTCCCCGATCCTTTTGTTCTCTGTATCTATCTCGCTCTCTGTGCGGCTACAACGCGTATAAATGCGTAGATACGCGTGGTGCATTATTATTATAATAATAATATACGTGTTACGCGCAGATTTACGCAGTTGCCCGGACGTTTTTTAATACCCCAATTATTACGACCGGATGCAAAGCTAATCTTTCCTTCTCTCTCTAGTCTCCCTCTTATTCTCTCATGGTCTCGCGAGAGTATAACAACGATATTGATAACGCCGTCGATGAACATATCAGTTGGATCGCGGAATAAAAATTACGCCCGATCGTAAAGTCATTCGTTGCGGAAATATTATGATTTACGAGGCACGCGAGAGATACGTATAGAAATGCAGCCTGCGGTTATGAGCTTTCAAAAGCTCGTCAGACCTTTACTTTCCTCTTCTCTTCTTTTTCTTTTTTTTTTTTACGTGTCTTCGTATTTAATATTTAATATTTCACTCTCGACGTTTTTCTGAGCGCACGAGCTTCGCGAGCTTTCGACGGTTAAGAGTCGAAAATAAAAGAGCATTATACACGCCGTTGGTGGGGGAAAAAACCTTAAATTTAATGCGGATTTGATGCGAATAATCGGATATTAAAATTAAAGTGACCGATGCTAAATTTTCATTTAAATTACGTTTAAAAATAATCTGTAAGTATCGATACACAAAAAAACATGATAATTTAGTTATATACATTATTTTTAATGCAAAAACCAAAAAGATTTGATTCGCAATTGAAAATTCACGTTTTAATACTGTTTGATTGTTTTCGATAATTGCTCGAAGACTTTTATCAAAAGTAAAATCAGCCTCCACCACTAGATGGCGAGTACTTGTATATACATGAATCTGCAAGTGGCGAAGTAGAAATAATTGTATAAGTCAAGAGCATGGTTTTTTAAACGACGAAGAAGGCGCCACACTATTTTACAGTTGAAATGTAGAAAATACAGAATCTTAATGAAGTATAACAGTACATGCGATAAGAACACTTTAAACCTCAACCGCTAGATGGCGAGTACCTGTATCTGTAAATCTGCAAGTGACAAAGTAAAAATATTTGTATAAGTCAAGGCCCGAACTGTACAAGCTTATGAAGTTGTTATACTCATTTCATGTTTCTACGTGAAGTTGAATTCTTCAACGCAGAGAAATAAACGCGGAAAACGAACGTATGCTTTTTACGCCCTAGCGATGACAAAAAATTTGAGAATAATCAACGAAATGCTGCGCGCCGAGATAAACGCGTAGGATCGATCCGCACCAGAGCTTTCGGTCGAAGTCGGTTATAACGAAAAAAAAAAAAAAAAAAAAAAAACANGAGTAGAAAAAAAAAAAAAAAAAAAAAAACAACAACAACAGAAAAGCGAGGGAGAGAGAAACTTGGCATTCATTGCTATAGCGAACGTCAGGCCACGACTGGCAGACACACAGTAGCTTACAGCGTATAGTCGCAATGACTCTCGTGGTTGGGTAAATATTTCTTCGAAACAATTTCCACGAATATATCCTATACTTCTCGCGGCAGGAGAGTCGGTCTTTCTCTCTCTCTCTCGGATGCTTTTGCATTATTCAAAACAACGCGCGCCGGAGCAACCCAAGAAAATAATATATAGATATTATACGTGGGGCTATATAGCGCCGCAGTTTTGGTCTCGCGAGAGTTCGTGAAAACACGAGCCGAGAGCTTGCAGGCGGTGGTGGCAGCTGCAGCTCGAGCTTCGCCAGCTCTCGTCTTTCACACCGATATGCAACAGCTCGTGAGACTATATATATGACACGCTACGTTATACCACCCCGACTCCCTCTTTTATGTGTCCAAACGCGTCGACGCGCGTGTATATATATGCCTCGCAAATACACTCTAGACGTAAGCACCGAAACAGACGCGCACACACACGTATGCGAGCGTGGCTCCTTTTCATTTATATACGTATACGTACTACTCTTTTTCCTGCTATACACAGACGAGCCTGCGTGAAAAATCTTCTCTCTCTCTCTTTCGCGCGCGCACACCGCACCCGCTATAAAGAGAGTGAGAAAGAAAGAAAAAGCATCGCGGCGGAAAAGAAACTGTTGCTCGCGCGCCCCGGCGAGCTTTCGAGCCCTACAGTAGTGTGTGTGAGTGAATGAACGTATATAAAGCTCTCGCCCACCACCACCACCACCACCAACGCGTATGTATATATACAGTAACGGACAATGGACTGTGCATAACGCAGCCGCGCTGCACATAGCTCTCCGCACACATTTAACACGTCGCGGAGCGTGAAAAAAAAAACCTCGCGCGTACACGTATAGACGCGAGAATTTTTTTGTTACAACGCGGGCCGGCTTTTGACTATACTGTACTAGTACTACTACTACTGGGGGTTTCGACTTTTTTTTGAAAAAGGAAAACCCGAGCTTTTGCGCGGAGCCGCTAGAAAACGTACGCGATGTAAATAAATATACGAACGAACGTATTTGACGAAATTCTCCGATGTCGCACGCGCGATATACATCAAAGGCATATTTTTCGACGATCGTACATCGAGACTCGATCCCCCCGCGCGTCTCTCTGTGTGTAATTGATCGAAAAAATCAAAGTGCAGCGCTGCACGTCATCTGCCGTCACTCACCAACGATAATAATAATAATAATAATAATAACGACGATAATAATAATTGCAATAATCGATGCAACGCGTGGAGCTGAATTAATTGTTATACATTTGCTGGCGCGCGCGCGCGCAATTTTCAATTTCACGCGCGCGCGGGTAATAAAATTGTCAGAAAGACTCGGGGCTTCTGCTGCTGCCTTCAATTACCATTGAATATTGAGTTTCATCATCGGCGCGCGCGCGGAATCGCGAATTCGAAAATCGAATTCGGAGCACCGCGCGGAGAGCGATTGACGCGCAGCGATATAATATACGTTGCGCAAAAGTCGAAGATGACTAGGGATGAATTTAATTCCGGAAAATTATTGAAAATCTATGTGTACGAGATTTTTTTTCGTGGCTGTTTTGCAACGCCGATGCAGAGTCGGTAATAGGATGTAATTGTATACTAGATAGTTTATCGAAGCTTTTACGAACTTTTCTCTACTATATTATAACAACGACGAACAACTAGACGCAGGCAGCGTTGAAAATTGATCAACCCGATATAACTCGATAAACTTACAACGGACAAATTGAAAAGCTACGCTGCTCGACGTTCTCGAAATAAATGATGAAACCGATGCATCATCGTACACCTCGAGATTTAGGCAACGTAATACACACCTCTCCTGACGAATGAACGAGGAAATTACGAATGATGCGAGCGCCTAACGTAAAGTTTCCACGTCGCACGATATATAACTCACATTATATCATCCTCTTCTCTCTCTTTCTCTGTTTTACAGACGGCAAATACCACATGCTGCCTACGGGTGAGCTGCTGGTGTTCTCGGTGACTTCGGCGGACGCCCACGCGAGCTACCGCTGCCGCACCGTACATCACGTCACGGGCAGCACCGTCGAGAGCTCGACTTACGCGCACCTCGTCGTCACAGGTAAGTGTTTTCCACATGTTTGCTGTGCGAGAGCTTGATGCATATCGCATCCGAGCGATCGATTTATATTATTATTATATTCCGAAAAGTCGACTTGGCACTCGGCAATTTAACGCGTTACATATATAATGTATCGTACAAAGACTCGCTCGAGAGCTGCTTGCGGTGCTAATGGGCAAAAATTCCCCCTGCTTTCCATATAATATATTATAATTTTGTATAAAATGTTGCCGCGCACGGCATTCTTTGCTCGCGATTCCGCGCGCGCGCGCGCTCTCATCGTGCACGGGGCAAAATTGAATTAATCAAAGTTCTCGCCAGAGTAAACAATGAATATATACACGCAGCGGAGCAGAGCAGAGCGGAGCAGCTCCGCTGTATAAGCAGCAGCGGCGGCCGTCCATTACGCGCGCGCGGGGGTGGGATGCAATTAAATTAGTTTTGCGCGCGTTCGCTGCCTGTAATCGTCCAGCCGTAGTAGTAGTAGTAGAGGCTTTGAGCAGCAGCAGCGGCTCTACTCCTGCACGATATCGATCATCGACTAAACAAAGCATTGCATCGCGCGTTGGTTGTGTATGTGTGTGTGTGGTATATAGCAGAGCTGGAGCTCGCTCTGTGTAGAGCAGCCAAGCGATGTAATCGAAGATTTGATTAACGTGGCCTGCTGCTGCTGCTGCTGCTGCTGCTGTTGCGCCTCTCTGTATGTGTGAGGGTGGGTGGGTGGATGTGTGTATAATGTGAACTGTGGAGGCGAGGCTGCTGATGCTGTCTGTGTGTATACAGTATTCTTGAAATATATAATGTTAAAGTTTTCGCTTCGACTGTTTTATGCGCGGTGGCGGTGCATGGAAAAGACCCTTTTTTCATCGAAACGTTCGTTGGCTCTCGTTGACTCTTCGGGCGCATTATGTATCGAGTGTCCGCGATAAAGCGCACACTCTGAAAATTAGAATTAAAAATATTCAGCGTTGTGTAATCTAGCTTCGGTCGGCCCACGAGTACAAGTGTTTTATTTCAAAGTTTTCTTTCGATGGCCCCTTGGACACTCGGCTCTGAACCATATTTCAGACAAATAAATCGACGACATTTGCCGAATTTTTGTTCGTTACGTGCACGGCGAGGCTAATTCTTTCGTATACGTCATTATAAACTTCGTGGATTTATTTTTTAACGACCGTACTATGATTCGACGGTAAATGCAAGTCGAGGTATGTGTATTTATAACATTTAAGTCGTCGTTTTCATCAGTTCGTATCGAAGATTTGTCGAGCAAGTGGGCCATCGTTAGAAACTGCTCCATTGTTAGCCGCCGTTGCAGGCCGCTGCGAGCTGCTCGCTGTAGCGCTGTTTTTTTACGGTCAACGAAAAATCGTGAGAGTTTTCACCAATATTAAGTGTGCAAACACCGTCGAAAAAAATTAGCTTTTCTATAAATTAAATTTTCAACCTGTATTCGAAAAATTGTTTTCACGTGTCATATGCGCTCTTATATATAGCGACTTGCAGTTTTTTTACCACTCACGAGTACTCGCTGCGCCATCTAGGATTGAGCTCTGGCAATGCGAATGATCTATCATCTTCAAAAGTAAACGCGAGCCATTGCGAATTACACATAGAATTTAAGCTTCTGAGAGCTGATTTCGGATAAAAACATAAAATTTTTTAATCCGTGTATCGTAAATATTAATACACGCGAGCCGCTGTTTTCTCATACCTTTTCTCGAGTCTCTGCGCCCACATACATTGCAACCTCGCGCGTCAGAGTTTTTATACCACTACTCTGTGCTACGCAGGCACATCAGCAAAAATATATAATTCCATTCTCGTGTTTTCATCCTTGTATACTGCCTCCTCGATGAGGAAGCCATGTGATTGGCTCGAAAATAAGATTTGGACCAGACGTCGTAGGAAAATTTGAGGAACGTAATTGGAAATTACTTTGAATTACCGACAAACGTCTGCATAAAAATGAATTATATGTAATCAGAGGCTACCATTTTTAAGCGATTTTGATGGCACAAAAAAATATTTAACGCAACTTCGGTGCACAGTCAATCGAAATATTAGCATAAAATCAAATAATCAAGAAATGCTAAAACAAAATAATTCTAATAGAATGACTCACAACTCATTGAAATTTCGTGCAATTTTATCAGCAGAAAGCAAAAAGATAAATCTTTCTCACATTTATCAGAAGAAAACAAAAAGTTAAATCTTTCGTCCATGGATTTGCTTTTACGATCGGTTCGATTGAATGAGAACCAAGTACAGGTTCCCTCGCACGTAATCTGAAAGTCATGCATAGGTCCGGAAAATCTAAAAATTAATTCAAGTTTTTAAAAACAACCTTACTAAGATTTTTGACCTATTTTGATGAAGTACAAAAGTCTCTGAAACGTGGTAAAAATCTAATAACCGATCGCGCAGATAAGTTTGAATTATTTTAGATTTGACCCGTGTATCAAATTGATTATACAGTTATAAATGTGAGGTTTCACTTTGCATAATACTTTTTTAGTACTTGAGACGAAACATTGTTATTCCAATCATCGATAAACAAGGAATTTTGACATACTTCGAAGATATGCAGACAATATCGACGCTGTTAAGGAAGAGTAGCACGTCTCTATAGTCTTCCTTAACAGCATCGATATACAAATAAATAAATTTTAAACTTAATTGTCAACAATACGATGATACTGAGCATGTTTCTAGCCAAACAAAGTATAGAGTGAGTCGTGGCTTTAACGTCGAAACGAGACATAATACCAGAAGATATATTTTATTTATTCTCATTTCGTGACGTTACATAGAAGGATCCATTGATTAATACAGGCACTGACATGGAAGTTAGTAAGTAAAAATCCAAAGTAGTTTGTGATATTTATCAGAAGTCATTTGCATACGCGGGAAGCATGATAAGACACCGAAATACTGTTCATTATCATCGCAAGGATTACGCGTGTGACAAGTGCGAGAAGATATTTGGAAGGAAATCAAATTTACTCGATCACCAAAAGACAGTCCACGAAGGTCGCAAAGATTTCGAATGCGACAAATGTGAGAAAAAATATGGAATTAAATCGCATTTGCTCGTACACCAGAGAACTGTACACGAAGGTCGCAAAGATTACGCATGCGACGCGTGTGAACAGAAATTTGGAGAAAAATCAAAATTGATTAGACACCAAAGGACAGTGCATGAAGGTCGCAAAGATTATCTATGCGTTGAGTGTGAAAGGAAATTTGGACAAATATCGCATTTGCTCTTACACCAAAGAACTGTACACGAAGGTCGCCGAGATTACGCATGTGACAAGTGCGAGAAGAAATTTGGACAGAAAGGAGATTTGTTGAAGCACCAAAGGGCCGTACACGATGGTCGCAAAGATTACGCATGCGATAATTGCGAGAAGAAATTTGGATACAAATCGCATTTGCTCGTTCATCAGAAAACAGTTCACGAACGTCGAAAAGATTTTGCATGTAACGAGTGCGAGAAGAAATTTGGACATAAAACGCATTTGCTACGACACCATAGGACAGTTCACGATGGTCGAAAAGATTTTGCATGTGACAAATGCGACAAGAAATTCCCACATAAACATCATTTGATTTTGCACCAAAAAACAGTACACGAAGGTCGCAAAGATTTCGAATGCGACAAGTGCGAGAAGAAATTTGGACAAAAATTTATTTTGCTTATGCATCAAAAGACAGTCCACGAAGGTCGAAAAGATTTCGAATGTGACGAGTGTGAGAAGAAATTTACACGAAAATGTCATGTAATCGTTCATCGAAGGACTGTACACGAAGATCGTAAAGATTACCCATGTGACAAGTGTGAAAAAAAATTTGGACACAAATCGAATATGCTCAAACACATAAAAACAGTTCACAAAAGTCGCAAAGTTTTTGCAAGCAACAATTGCGACAAGAAATTCGTGCTTAAAATTAATTTGATCAGGCACCGAAAGACAGTGCGCGAAGATCGCAAAGATTATTATCAATGCGACCATTGCGAGAAGAAATTTGGACGCAAATCAAGCTTGATATTGCACCTTAAGATACACGAAGCTGCAAACGAAGGTCGCAAAGATTACGCAATGGACAAGTGTGAGCAGAAATTCGGTGATTCGAAAAATTCGATCAATTACCGAAAGACAAGATCTACCGAAAAGAAAGACCGCATGGATTTTACATGCGATAACAACGAAGAAAAGTTTGGGGATCAACACAATGTTGGTGGACACCAATTAATAGTCTACAAAAGCCGCAACGATTACGCATGCGACAAGTGCGAGCAGAAGTTTAGGATTCAAAGCAGTTTGATGAGGCATCGACAAATGGTCCACAAATGCCGCAAAGATGAAACAACCAAGGAGGGCAAAAGGAAAACTAAGGCTCTATGGAATACAGTCAAAAAAAGAAAAAAAGGCAAGAAAATTCGCAAAGACAATCTGTCTGATAGGTGTTACAATTGCCTGGTCTGTCGATATCAACGATCATTGTCAAAAAAAAAAAAACAAAAAAAACTCGTGACTCGTAACGAGTGAACGTGAAGAGCACCCCAAATGTCTTCATAAATCGACAGCATACTCAGTTGCGTATTATATCAGGGGAGACGTAATTATCAATTCTTAATGGTGAAAATAGGGCATTTTCATTACGGGTAACTCAAATTTTTCTCAATTATACGAGTCTTGTAGTTATTTCATCAATGAAATAATTTAAAACGATTTAATAATTTTCTTGACAAGTGTATCAATTGATGCTGCAAGTTTCTATAATAAAAATGTTAATGTCTCTTACGTCACAAACTGTGAACTATCTATCAATGTATATAGCAGTTTCTTATCTGGATAAAGACATTAAATTTTTTAACCTGTGTATCGTAACTATTAATTTTCATACTGATTGTTAATCAATTGCGTGTGACACATGCGCTTATACATTTTTTTAGTTCGATGACTAAATATTTATTTAATCAATTTAATTTCTCTGAATAATCGCGTTATTTTGTTCAATCAACTAAGCTCATAAAATATTAAATAAAATTTTGTAGAATCGACAAAGTTTTTTTTTTCTCAACGCAGACGAGTCGAATTATATATCTTATAATTTAATTGGAAAATTGCTCGATTCAGAGACCGTAAACACAACCGAGCTGAGAATCGTCACTGATTAAGGATCATTAGATCCTCTTGTCTTTCTGCGACTCACGCGCATCGTCGTCGTTTTCAACATTGAATACATATACGAAATCACAATTACCCTCATCTTCAAAACACTCGGCAATATTCACGAAGTTTCCAGGCTCCATATCCGAAAAATCATAATTTTAAATAAATAAAAAAGCATCCCTTCCCTCTCCTTAACGGATCAGCGAACTAATGCACGCGCGTAAAAAAAGTTCGTAAAAATCTTCAGAGAGATACAGGGGGACGAGAGAGGGCCCAACGACGAGCTCCGTTCGCTCCTAAAATGAATGAAAAAAACAGCCTCGTTCCGCGTATAATACGTAGCCGCTTGCCGTATATATAGCTGATAAAGTAGCGAGTCAGCTACCGGCAGCAGCAAAAAGCTAAATACAATGTCTTGATGAAGCGTCCTCTCTTACCCCCCGCCTCACCCCCCTTCTTTTCATAGGTAATTGACGGAGCTATCGCGCAAAGCAGCAGCAACAGCAGCGGCGCACTATAATTGCTATGAGCCATGAAAGAAGACTCGACTCTCGTCCCCCTTTTTTTTGTGCGTTGTTGCTGCTGCTGCTGCTACTGGCCCGGCTTTAGTATACGCGTTTTTTGCTCAACAGAAGCGGCATCAGTAGTAACGGTAGTAGTACAGTGCGCCGAGCGCCGCTATATAATGAAATTGAGGCTAGAGAGAGATCCAGAGACGCTATATACCAGCTGAGGAAGCCTCACAGCAGTCAGTAGTAATAGTAGTAGTGGTAGTAGTATAAGGCACGCCGGTAGATATAAATCGCGAGATGTTATAAGATTAAGCCGCGCCGGAGTAAATTAGGGAAGTTCTCTCCAAAAAAGGACTCGACTGAATTACAAGCGAGCGAAGCCCTCCGAGCAGTTGCGTCAACGAAACTCGATGTAAAATGCGTGCCACCCTTATTTTGTTTTTGTCGTTGTTGCTCACAAAAAGCTTTATTCACGCGTCGAACGAATCGATCTCGACGAATAATCATCTCGCAGAGAAGCGCCATTAGAACACGCGCGGCCTCTCGAAAGTTCGATCGAGAGAAAGAGAGCCATTATATATATCGGAGAATTTTCAAAGTCACCCTTCCCCACCGCCGCGGCGAAGTAGAAGAAGAAGAAGTGATCTACGAGGCATGCGACGCGCGCACCACCCAAACAATTAACTTCTCTCTCTCTCTCTCTCTCTTCGGCAATGAAGACGACAAATAGATCGTGCGGGCTATATCACGCTGTGTTGTACGTGCTGCTGTACTATAGGAGCTGCTTAATTACAGCTGCCGCTGCAGCAGTAGCGGTAGCTCGCTCAGAGACGCGTGACCAATCGACCGTATCGAACCGTTTCCTGCACACTCACGTGCACATAGAGAGAGAGACAGAGAGAGAAAAAAATGCGAACCCAATACTCTTTTCTCTCCTATATATATAATACGGACGCAGATCCATTACCGCCGAAACAATGCAAATTGCCGCACACCGGCATCACTGCGCTCGAGAAAGCAGCTCTCTGTATTCTCCCTCGCTGTTCTCCATATCCTCCACATCTTCTACGTATACCTATCTACTATTTGTGCGAGAATGCACATAAAAGTGGGAGATGCGCAGGCGATGCCGAGGCATGAAAAGTATACATATACTGTATATATGTGTGTGTGTGCCGCAAAGAGCTGACTTGACCATTTACCGGCGAGCGTGTTTTTATCGAAAAAGCTAGAGCTTCGGTGCAAAAGCTTATATATACGCTATATACATTATATTATATGTGTGCGCCACACGAGCTGCATACGGAGTCCGAGGATTTTCATCCTCCGAGAAAGAAAAAAAGTCTCCGCGCGCGTCGTCGTCGCGTCTTCGTCTCCACGAGCGAGAAAAAGCTCGATTTGGCCTTTTCCCCCCGCAGATTTGATTTTGTCGCCGGCGCTGCAGAGAGTGCATGTTTTATGCATGCTCGACGCTAGACCATCGCGCGTTTATGTGCAGAGAGTCGCGCGCAAGAAAAAGCCGAGCATATTTTCTCGATGTCGTCGTGGTGCTTTTTGACGATCGTGTCCGAACCAACGTTTATTATATATATTATGTCGAGTCGCTGCTGCAGCAGCTACATAGACGACGTTTAATGTATGTGCTGCTATACACGAGCTCCTGTTTTCTTGAGTCTCGCGAGGATCGTATATTGATACGAGTATATGCGCTACATGCATTGTAGCCCCCCGCGCGTCAGAGTTTTTTATACGTATAGGCATAGAGGCAAATAAATATAATGCCGTTCTCGTTTTTTCATCCTTGTGCATTGCCTCCTCGTGGAAGAAGCTGTGGGATAGGCTTGAAAATGAGATTTGGAACAAGACGTCGTTGGACGATTTGGGTTACTTATTTGGAAACTACTTTGAATGACCGACCAACGTCTGTATGAGAATGAATTGTACGTAAATTATGCGAAGAACAGAGAGCTAACGAGAGAGGATTTTCATGTGATGCTGTTGCAAAAGAAAATTTAACGCAACTTCGGTGCACAGTCGATTGAAATATTAGCATTTAATCAAATATAATCAAGAAGTGCATAAAAAATGAATTTTAATGGAATGACTTGCAACTCGTTGGAATTCCATCAGAAGTAGCAAATTTTTCGCATATAATTCGATGTTAAAGACGATAAAACGTCTGCTTGTATTCGATTTATAGAAATTTAAATCTTTCCTTCATGGATTTGCTTTTACGATCGGTTTGATATAATGAGAACCAAAATCTAAAAAATAAGCTAAGTTTTTTACAGCAACCTTACTAAGATTTTTTACCTATTTTAATGAAGTACAAAAGTCTCTGACACGTGGTAAAAATCTAATAACCGATAGCGCAATTAAGTTTTAAATATTTTGGGTTGATCCGTGTATTAAAATGATTATATAGTTATAAATGTGGGGATTCACTTTGCATATAACTTTTTTTAGTACTTGGTTTTATGATACTACTAAACATTTTTATTCCAATCATCGTGAAGCAAGAATTTGGACACAGTTCAATGATATGCGAATAATATACAAATAAATAAATTTTAAACTTAATTGTCAACAATACGATGGTACTGAGCATGTTTCTAGCCAAACAAAGTATAGAGTGAGTCGTGGCTTTAACGTCAAAGCGAGACATAATACCAGAAGATAAATTTTATTTATTCTTATTTCGTGACGTTACATAGAAGGATCCGTTGGTAAACATAGGCACCGACATAGATGTTAGTAAGAAAAAATCCAAAGTAGTTTGTGATATTTATCAGAAGTCATTTGCACACGCGGAAAGCATGATCAGCCACCGAAATACAGTTCATTATAATCTCAAAGATTACGCTTGTAACAAGTGTGAGAAGATATTTGGAAGAAAATCAAATTTACTCGATCACCAAAAGACAGTCCACGAAGGTCGCAAAGATTACGTGTGTGACAAGTGCGAGAAGATGTTTGGACATAAAACGCATTTGCTACGACACCATAGGACAGTTCACGAAGGTCGCAAGGATTACGCATGCGAAAAGTGCGAGAAAAAATTTGGATGTAAGTCAGATTTGTTGAGACACCAAAGGACAATACACGAAGGTCGTAACGATTTCGAATGTGACAATTGCGAGAAGAAATTTACACAAAAACATCATTTGCTCATGCACATAACGACAGTCCACGAAGGTCGCCGAGATTACGCATGTGACAAGTGCGAGAAGAAATTTGGACATAAAACGCATTTGCTACGACACCATAGGACAGTTCACGAAGGTCGCAAGGATTACGCATGCGAAAAGTGCGAGAAAAAATTTGGATATAAGTCAGATTTGTTGAGACACCAACAGACTGTACACGAGGGTCGCAAAGACTACGAATGTGATGATTGCGGAAAAAAATTTGGACAAAAATCTGATTTGTTAATGCACCAAAGGACAATACACGAAGGTCGGAAAGATTACTCATGCGACAATTGCGATCAGACATTCGGAACTCAAAGCAATTTAGTAAGACACGAGAAAACAGTCCACGAAAGTTGCAAAGATTACTCTTGTGACAAATGCGAGATGAAATTTGGAAGAAAATCAACCTTACTCGATCACCAAAGGACTGTTCACGAAGGTCGCAAAGATTACGCGTGTGACGCGTGTGATAAGAAATTTGGATGTAAGTCAGTTTTGTTGAAGCACCAAAAACTAGTACACGAAGGTCAAAAAGATTACTCATGCGACGCGTGTGAACAGAAATTTGGAGAAAAATCAAAATTGATTAGACACCAAAGGACAGTGCATGAAGGTCGCAAAGATTACTCATGTGACCAGTGCGAGAAAAAATTCGGACAAAAAGGTCATTTGTTAGATCACCAAAAAACTGTCCACGAAGCTCAGGAAGATTTCGCATGTGACAAGTGCGAGAACATATTTGGATATAAGTCAAGTTTGTTGAGACACCAAAGGACAGTACACGAGGGTCGAAAAGATTTCGAATGTGACGAGTGCGAGAAGAAATTTACACGAAAATGTCATCTAATCGTTCATCGAAGGACTGTACACGAAGATCGTAAAGATTACCCATGTGACATGTGTGAAAGGAAATATGGACACAAATTGAATTTGCTCAAACACATAAAAACAGTTCACAAAAATCGCAAAGATTTTGCAAGCAACAATTGCGACAAGAAATTCGTGCTTAAAATTAATTTGATCAGGCACCGAAAGACAGTGCGCGAAGATCGCAAAGATTATTATCAATGCGACCATTGCGAGAAGAAATTCGGACGCAAATCAAGCTTGATATTGCACCTGAAGATACACAA